GAAATTCACTTTTGTTGTTGCAAGCTGTAACAGATCGGTCATTTGCCATTGTTTGTTCTAACTTATAACGGTACTAAATTCGTCGCCCCGTGCAGGTTGCATGTGTGCGTGGTGTAAACAAAGTTTTGATAAGAAATGAGTGGACGACAGTATGCTCCGATAAAGCAGACTATAACAATGGCACTTTAAACAGCCATGAATATACAGTGATATGTGCACCTACCACAAGTAGATGAGCAACACCTGTGTAAAAGCAAACAAGTGGTGAAAACGTTTGCAGTGTAAATAGAAATTAGTATAATTATTAACACAAATTTGACCGAAGTAGTGGTCGCAAACGAAATTGGATTAATAATTATTGTTAAATTACGGCAAACTAAATTCTTATCACAACTTGCTCGCTTTAGTCTGCAGTGGAATCGCTCCACTCTGCTCCGCTTAGTTTGTTGTTGTTTGTCGGCATTCGGCAGTCGGCATCCACTATGTAAAGTCTTCGTCTTATTGATGTGTGAGTGTGCCTCAGTGTGTTCGTGTGCAAACAAGTTTTGCGCAAAAGTGCGTCAAAGTAACAAGTGCTGCAGCAGCAACCTCGGCGACAGCAACAGCAGTAACAACTTCAACCTCAACAATATCAAGCGGTACGTAAATCTTTATCTGAGGGAGAGAGTAACAATTTAAAGCCCGTCTACTGGCCAAAGAGCTGAGCATGCATTAGTGCATCTTGCATCTCTTTCCAGCAGACGAACTTGCAAGCTGCAACATCCCATCACCGCACAGTGACTCAGCGCCCAGGCCGCGAGACTCACGCTAAAAATATTAACACCCTCAGACCCCAAGTGTTTAATCATATGCCATACATTCATAACAATCTTCTCGAACTCATGTTGTTGTGAATATTTTATTATTTCAAGAAAAAAAAAACTTTGTTATTTGCATGAACTACTCAGTAGTTCTCTAATATTAAATCACGTACCAAAGGCAAAAAATATAAACTGCGGTTGATTCATGCATTCACAAGTTTTTTCTTTATATTTCTCTATTTTCAATTTCAATTTTGTGCGGTTGCTGAAGCGCAGTAAAGTATGTGTACTATAAACATATGTATGTATTATAATATTACTATATATTTCTGTATATGAAATGTTTATATGGTATATCGCGCAAAACAAGTGCCACATTTGTTTTATGATTAAATCGAACTTGCTTGTGCTGGGTTCAACTTGCAGGCGGATTCTTTTTACATTCAACCAAAAGTAAATAAGAAATAAAACCAAAAGTTCCTGGTACTACAAGTACAAGTACGTATATACAGTGATACGGAATACTGACACCAATATTGCACCTACAATGCAATGTGCACTTGCTAGTACAATTACAGTTCGGTTGGTAATCGTGTGGTATAGTCCATGTTCAGTGCGTGATGATAGCGGCTGTGTAAACTATCTTCAATGAGAAGAACAGCAGACAGCAGCCGGCAGCAGTAGCAGCCACAGCAATCAAAATAACTAAATTCTCGCTTGTCGCAATCCCAATTGATGCGGACACCACATGTCTGACTCTTGATGAGGGACCGTTGTGAGTTCGTTCCAAATATTAATGGCTTGGAGGAGGCTCCGTCAAATTGCGCCTAAATTAACGCGTTGTCTTTATTAATATTTATTTGACTGCACCAAAAATAAAATTAGAGAGCATAAATAACCTTTTGTTTATAAACATACACAATTTGGCAACTAAAAATAAATGACGCCCAGATAAGATACACAATAGAAATAAATACAGACATACACATAATACTTTTTTTTCTTATCCCGAACAATCTTTGTGATGATTGCCCCAACATGTTGGAGCACTCAAGAAATATTTATAAAATTCAATATTATTTTGGAAATTTTTAAGTTAAAGTTGGTTAGTCATGGGTATTGTTCAATGGATAATAACTCATCTCTTGGATTATGCAGCTAAAAAATAAAACACATTTAAAAATAACGCCAATTTGATCAACATAGAACCAACATAGAATAAATAGTTGAAATTGTGTTCAGCAGTTTGCATTGGCGATTTGCTTAAAGCAACATCAGCAGAAATTGAATTTCTAATAATAAGGATTGCGATGGTTATACTTATTGATTTGATGGTTTATCTGTGGAAAAATTCCACTCATAATGAAATACAAACAAACAAGCAGGCAGTCAGCAACAAGCAAAAGGTCTGAAAAATAGACAGCAATGAAAATTTCCTTCCATTCGTTTTTATTTTAAAGCAATTCACGTGTGAAATGAACAAAGTGTTGATATGTATGTTGTGAGGGGGAGGACTGCTGGGTAGGGAAGGCTGCCGCAGGGTATAAATGGGCTGAGCAGGAAATATTACGCAGCGGGGCAACAATATGAAAGAGTTGCGTAGGGAAGAAGAGCAGCAACGAAATGAAATGAAATGAAATGCATAGCGAATCAAGAGGGGAATCCAAGAGCAAGTGGGCATAGAAGTGGCATACTATACAAATCAAGTTCAGGGAATGAATTTCATGCGTTGTCTCTGATGTTTTTGTTGCTGTTGAAAGCCAAAAGAAAAAAAAGATAAAAAAAAAAAAAAAACAAAACAAAACAAAAAGACTGTGAGCATTGGGGAGAGAAGAATGTTGCCGCTGCCTGTTGATGACGTTGCTGCTGCTGTTGTTGTCGCAAGACCTAACTAGTCACCCATGCCTTTGAAACTCTGCGTATGCCAGGGCGAGCGATGCATTAAAATAAGACTCCACATTTTTAAAATAAAGAAAAGTTTTCGTTAGTAACTCAAATGTATGTTTTATTCTTTTTATAAACTTAACTTATCATTGCTGCAAGTAGTTTTTTGACCGATCTAAAGGTTAAGATGAGGAGCAAACATGACAATAAGGCAAGCTTGGAAGAAAGTAGGTACAACCAAGCAACTGATACTCAGGCACAGTAGTCGAAACTGCATCAGCATCAGCATGAGCATCAGAGGCATGAAGAGAAACATTAAAACGCACGTAGGCTGCAAGCGGACGTGAGCGTAAAACCGCCTCCGACTCGCTTCGTTTTTTTTTTTTTGTTTTCTTGTTAAGTTGCTGATTGAAGAGTATTGTGTATAGGCTTGCGAGTATTTATACATACAAGTCTGCTGGAAATCTGTTTAGAAACATCTGCGGATAATGTTAGGGCATGTGGGCGAAACTTTGGTCCTAATGCGTGGGTAGCTTATGATAATTTAAAAGTTCGTTAACATTTAACTTGTTTAAGTTCGAGTAATTATGTTTCTCAAAGAAACTGACTGGCATCCATGGTTTAAGATCTTTATAGGCTCTCATCGGGTAAAAATAAAGTAGATAAAAGTTAATACCAAAAGTCTGATGGCTCTGATTAGGATGTATACTTTTGGATGTATATTTTTTGTTTGCAATTTGAAATTTCGTTTTCCCGTTTGCATTACTTTATATTGTACCCAAACATTGACAATGCTAAATCATTTTTCTTACTTTTACTATTTGTGTTTAATATTTTTCATGATGAGACTTAATAAAAGCAATATTTTCGAATTCGCTTAGCATTTAACAGAGTTTAAAAGAAATAAAAGCCAGAAAAGGTAAAACTATTCCCGCCTGACAGTTTCTAGGCCATAAAATACATTTCTCCCTGAAGCTTGAAGTCCAAATACAAAGATCAGGCCCAAACCAATTCGATGTTGTGTGCCATGTGCTGCAGCCTAAAAACAAAACAAAACCAGACACAAAATAAAAACACAAAACTGTACTAAATTTAACTCAAACCACACCGCACGGTCGCTGGTTGCTGGTTGCTTTAACAGCGGGTTGGTTCTTTTTCAGTTAACACGAGAAAAAATAAAAATACGTTATAAAAGAGCCAACAAAAACAGGTAGTAAAAAATCGACGACGAAACGAGCCCCGAGTGTAGCCGTGTTTTGTTGCTTGACAGGGGAGGGACGAACAAAGCGCTTAGAAATTAAAGTAAAACACAACATATCCAGCGGCCGGGCTCGAACTCCAACTCGATCCCGAGCTCGAACTCGAAACCGAAACCGAAACCAAAAGCGAAACCGAAACTACTCGACTCGACTCAATACAGGCTAATACACTAACATATACCTATCAGCGTTTCAGGCCGTTGCTCGGGGTACGCTGTTCAGTGCTACTCGTGTGGCTGTTGACGACATCACAAAAATTTTGAGCCGAATACAAAACGGTCCCAGCAACTGACGGCCTGTCTGTCCTATTGAGTTTGTTTCAGTTGTGTGCCCATGCATGGGGTTACTGACCCAAAATTTTAATAGTGAAAACTCTTAAGCATTGTTAAGCCGAGAATGCACAATCAGAGAACACGAATTTAAATTTTTCTAGAATATACTTTATATGCATCATTGTAGAGTATATTCACATAACATCTATGCAAACCCAAATAACTAGCTGAAAATGTGCCTCTGACCATAAGGTTGAGAAGTGGGCAAATATTACATTGGCATATACATAGATTCTATTCCTGATTCAAATATTTCTTTATTAAATTTACACATATACATATATTTACAAAAAACTTATTAATGATTATTATAAACTTTGTATATTACAGCTCTAAGCGACTGCAGTGGAACACCTCTAATAAAAAGGATGTGCAATTTTGAAAAGTATTACACAATGAGCATAAACAAATTTTGAAAAGTTAGCTTCAATAAATCAATGAAAATTAAAAGTTTCTAAAAGTGCTAAAACATAGAAAATCAAATACATAAAACTAAAATAGAGTCGAAATATTAAGTGTATTTTGTAGCTGCATATTATATTCGAGTGTATGATATGATGCAGTCTAGTGTAACTCAAGCAAAATCCAAGGAAATTGCTCTTTAGCAATACCTTTAAATTGTTTACAGAATATGAAATCAAAATCATAAAATTCTATATGTCTAGCATTGAGTGTAAAAAAATCTATAACAATTTGCTGTTGTTCATAGGTAACAACAACCCCAAAATCTAGGGATCACTATAGTTTTATTTTTAACCCTGAAAGAAATATCAGGACGGCTTCATCACGGAGTCTTTAGAGTTTTTTTCTATTGAGGACGACGATCTCGAGATGGATATACTACCGAGCGGAAATATATTCAACGAACTAGAGCGCATATGCACAACTGGCTATTTTTCATCACAGCCGTCGATTGAGGATCAATGGCAACAGGTGAGTAAGCAGAAGAAAGCGAGTAACTTGTCTTAAAGCTTGCGTATATGACAAACCTCACTTATAAGTATATCCCAATTACTGTATTTTTCTACAAAGTGTGTTAAATATATTGATGAAATTAGTACGTGTGTTTTCCGCGTATAGCTATAATTGACGTCAAAGCAACATGTGGTATATATATCATTATATACATATATACTTTATTAAAATTGGGAACCTCTTTTTCTTTTTTGGCTTTGAATGGCCTTGTAGGGCCTAAACCTTGATCAATTACTTTGATTGGTTATAACTATGGATCAAGGATCTCTGACACTGATACTTATTAAAAGTTAAAAACTAAAACTTAAAGAACAAAGAAAATCTCGGACATACATTTTCAAAATTCCTTAGTTGAACTACACCGTTTTCTATTCCAAACTCTTCCATTTCAATTCAAAACAAACAAAGCAGTAAATACATTGGCACGTATAAACCATTTAAATAATATGAATGTATTTTCTTTATAAATATATTTCAATAATATGAAAAAAGAAAAAAAAAAAAAAAAAATAGATGCGGTCATAAATAAACAGTCGCCGTCGCTGTTGGTTATCATCTGAATAAATAAATATATTTGTATGTATGTGAAATAATACATACTTATAATATATACTTATACATATGTATATATTTATGTATTTTGCAAAGAGCATTTGGCAAATATTAAATGTTATGAAAATAAAAATATCTATCTTATAAACACTTATACATGAATATGCATATATATTGATATATGTATGTACATACATATGTGTGATTGTATGTATGCATATATACATATGTACACACGCAACGTTCCGTTCATGTGCGAATTAAATTCCTCTCTTTTATTTTCTGCGCTCTGTGATAAAAACCGATCAACTTTGACTTATCAGAAACACCAGCTGATTTAGTGGTTTACTTAAGTATTTTTATTTTTGTTTGCATTTATTAACAAAAATGTTGAGTCCACGCCTTATCATCATGTGACGCATAACACGATTGCTTGGCTATATACGGCGCTTGTCAAGCGCAACTCGCAATACACAGGCATGCAAAAAGATAAGGTAGATACTCTTCAATGCTTTCTATCAGTGTAGTCTCTAAAATCTATATCTATATCTGAAATTCAAGTCAATGCATACATTCAAGCTACATACTGGCTTTTCTACATTTGTTTATTCACTATGTATAACACTCGCTACATTGTTGAAATATTTTATTTGATTATTGCGGCATTTATTTGTTTTAATTATTTGCATGTGCCCCATTGAAGTCCTCACTATTTTTAAACAATTCAATGCGTAGAGAAATATGTGTTTCGGCATTTTACTGAAAATTGGAAACATTTTGGATTTCAGTTTAAATAGAAATATTAATCTGGAGGCTTTGGGTGAGCACGATTGTATATATTATATACGGACATATGCATCCGATCTGAAAAATCAAGTTCTTGAAATATTTCGACTGTTTGCAACAAGTGAAAATTGTTGCCATATGAATGTTGCTAATTTCTAAGTTTATTAACTCAAGGTAGGTTAGCTCTTCAGTAATCACACAGCTTTAGTTGGTGCTATGAAATTTTAATTGGAACATGTTCAAGGATTCACGCTATATAAGTGGTTTGGATTGATGTAAAAGACAATATGAACGAATTACTGAACGAGCAATTGCGTTGTAATTAATATACGCACTTTATGCGACGGATGTTTTGTTTATTTCCCGTTGACTTCCGGGAACTTCCGCTTTCCCTGTGTGCCCTGCCCCTGTTTTATTCAAAATGTTCTCCCACTTTATCTTCTTGTGCCTATATTGCGTCATTTGTCCCGAGCACTTGTCTGGAATTTCAGACAGCTGGCAGTTGTTTTTACAGTGGCAAAGATAAACAATTAAAGCTACATTTGTATCTTTATCTGTGTGCAAGAAAACATCTGTATCTATTTGTTCTGCTGTAAAATTGAGCTTGTTCGCTTATATAAAACATATTTAGGCCAAAATCGGCATATGCATAAATAATATGTTTTACTCATAATCAAGGATAATAAAAATTTAAACTTTTGATAAGAACTTGTAGGCATGCACTATTTCAGTGTGAATGCTTAATATTGTCACCTTAAGGGTCGAGTTCCTTGAGCTATTTTGTCCAAGACAAGTGCCGAAATCACTCTGACTGTGGTGGTGTTTGAGTACATATTCCCAGCCAGCTTTACGCACAATACGCAATCAGCAGTTAACGTTCAACACGTCAAAAACGTAACAAGCCTAAAATAGCACGTACCCTGCTAAAAAGAAAAATTAAATACGAAAAAATGAAGAAACTAAAATGAGAAAGGGACAGTAAAATGCTGGGCATTGGAACTGGGAAATTCATGAAGATAGATGCGCATGTATTCGTGACACACACACATGTACGCCTAAAGATAATAAGCCGAAGGCAGTAACAACTACAAAACCCACATCATTGACTAACACGTCGCCAACGAATTCCTTTTGACTGTCGAGCGGTCCTTGGGTGCCAAACGAATACCAGGCAAATTTTTGTTTGAAAATTTTTCGAGGCAGCGAGAAAACCAACAACAACAAAGAAAAAGCAATCCCAAGTACGTGCAATCGCTAAAAATATTCTCAGCGTGTCCCAAAACGTGAGGACCACGCGTCTGTGTGCCTTAAATGCTTGCAAGGCGGCTAAACTAAGCATACGAGCCGAGCCTCCATAGAGACACAACCCTCGAACCGTGGCTGCTGCTACAAACTCTTGGAATCAAACCAGATATCTGAGCTGGCTCCACGTTCGCATCGCACGCTACTAGCTGCTTCAGCTTCCCTGTACTACTTTGGTGGCGCTTGCCGTTGCTACTCCTATTACCCCCAATCATTTATCATCTTGACTGCAATTAATCATCAAATGTGCGCGCTCACACATGTACTCTCTGAGTAACTTAGTGTGTGCTTGTGCGTATAGGACATGTCTTTTATATTGTGGATTTGGATGCCCGCTATAACATAGTCGCGGAACGTTTGGCGCATATAAGATGCTAAAATATGTGTCTAGATATGTGTAGACTTGGAAATGGGTGTGGGCTTCATCCCTTGCATTGATGCTTTTCGCGTATAGATCACAATTGCCGATAGGATAAAGACAGAGCTAGACCCCGGGACTTAATTGGCCCAACCATTTATAACCTTCTACTTATTTATTTATTTAAGTTTTTTTTTTGCAGCTGCACTTTGTGCCGGATTTAGTGAATAACATCAGATTAATTGAACTCATTTTCAGGAATTAGATTGAAAGTGTTTTCAAGTAACCTTTGGGACTGTTTAAATGTTCATGAAATAGCAGGTTCGTTTTAAACACATCTATGACTGATAACTGCTAGCGATACTGGTTCTATGATTCCTCCCATATATATATCCTCCTAATTGGTCGTATAGTTATGTATGCATCTGTTGCGAAATGATAAACTTGTATTAATTAGAGTTATAAATCAAGGCGGGCTTTTGCTCTTAGTTTGTGTATATGTGCTTAGGAAATTGGTGTGCAAATCTGGGCGAAAATGGGTTTTACAAGTGGGCTGCTGCTATTTCTCTGACGGTTAAAAGTAAAGGCCAATGAAGTAAAATTTTCTTAGTCCATTAATAAAAGCCCTCTTGAATATTGTAGCTCAGTGGCTTTTATCTTCTTGGATAACAAAAATAAATAAAAAGCAGTAAATACCTAATTATTTAGAAAGCTTTTCAAAGTATATTCATGCTCACAGAAAAAGGGGACGGCCACTCAGGACAAGGTTAGTTTTCTACTTGATTTTTGGGGCTCTGGTTATAGTACTATATAACATCTCATCTACTACGTTTATATGGGAGCTGAAATTCGAGTTATAGCTGACATATCTTGCAAAATTTCCAGGGAGTCGAGCTTTACAATATTATATCATTGGTAAGCATTGACTAATCATTTTAAATTACCACATATATGTACTTACAATCTACCCGGCCGAACAACAACTAATTTGTACATTTTGAGGCGCCACGTGGCGATTTCACAGGCAAATGTGTAAATTTATTTGCGGTTCGTTTAAGCGTAAGACCCAGACAGAAAAGCAAAATGTTCAAATAGACAATTTTATTATGGCACAGCCAATTGCACACTTATTGTTTTATTTTATGCAAATTATAAATAAATACAAATTGTTTTTCATTTCTCTGGGCAAACAACACTCGTGCAACGTCTTGTACAAATGCTTGTGCAAAAAAAAAAAGGAAACAAAAAAGAACGGAACAACCCTCCAAAACAAACTTTTGTTTGAGCCTCGCACCCTAAAGCTGTATGAAAAAAAATTTAGAAAAAATTTAAATTTTGCACACTTGCCATTTTGTTTAATTTCAATCATAAAACAAACCCAAATAGCAAAGTAATAGCGCGCACATATAAATAAATATGTATAATAGTATGTATATATATATATATATATGTGTGTGTGTGTGTGTGGGTGTGTATGTGTGTATACGTATACGTATACATAAACCTATATATTTTGGGTAAATTATTTATCAGAAAGTAAATGCGTCGTACTTGGAATGCTAAGCGAGGAACGAGGGCCGTAGCCTGCTTTCGAAGACGACTGAGCGAGAGAGTGGGGTGTCAGTGGGGGTTGTTTTTCATGTTTAGACGTTGCGGCGGCAGCGCTCCTGCTCTTCTGGTTAAAGTCCTTATTCACTAGGGTGCTGAGCAGTAAATGCAGAGCCAGAAAAAATGCGGACGAAAAATGTATGTCAATGAAATCGGAGTGGGGAGGGACTTTATTTGTGTGTTGGAGCTTGCAACAGAAGCTCAATATTTAAGCAGTTGACAATTGTCAACATGCATTGGAGTACGCGTGCTTTAATTTCAAGCTCAACCCATTCGGACTCATATATTAATGGTTATCAATTTTAGAAGTCCTCTTTTAAGGTCTGTATCTAAATGTAATAAACTCTTTGTC